TTGATGAGCCATTCTACCAAGGGGACGTGAGAGCTCACTGTAGTTTCGATCGGCATCTCAAAGAAATGTGTGCACAGCTCTGTTCACTGCTGCACTATTTATTCACAACAACCAAGATACGGTAACGATGAATGAATGGCAAAAAGAGATGTGACACAGAAGCACCTAAGTTTTCCTTAACGTTCTGGGGACAAGGTTATCGGATCCTTCTCACAAAAATGCAAAAGGACGGTGAGACTTGCATGAACACAGTATGCAGTGACTACAGAAATTCTGGAACAGTCCCAGGCCGGAATATGTGGAACCAGAGTCTACGTTGGCCTGCCTGTCCCTGAAAGATTCCCACTTCCAAGGGGTCTCCACGAGAGGGGTGCACAAGCTTGGTCACCCGGTAAACAGGCTTCTGTGTGACCCTCAGTTGGTCACGACATTCTGCTCCCCGGCTGCAAGTGACATCAGTGTTATCAACTATACACGAGTGGGCTTCAGTGATGAAGGCAGGATGTTTTTACCAAGCAGCAAGGGTCAGGCCACGTGAGTAGAGGGAACGTGCAATCAAATAACGTATTTGTTGATAACGATGACGGAGGCACATTTTTAACAAGCGGCAAAGGCAATGTGCACGGTCACTCTCAAGCACCAGGTAAGAATCTGGCAAAGGGTGGCCTGAACAACAGATCCGGCCCCTGAACAGTGCTTTGTTTTAATAAAACTTCATTGGAACACATATTGTCTAGGGAAGCTTTCGCGCTCTCTCACAGACACAGTGTGCCCTGTAATGCTGAAAACATTTAGCATCTGGTCCTTTGCAAAAAAATGATACAATAATACTGTATCGTGTATTTGCAAGTTGCTAAGAAAACAGAATTTAAAAGTTGTCCACACAGGAAAAATAAGTTTGTAAGTATGTGTGGTGATGGATGTTGGCTACACCTACTGTGGTGATCATTTCTGCAATATATGTGGGCACCCAATCTTTATGTCGTACACCCGAAACTAAATAGTGTCGTATGTCAATTATACCTCAATAAAAAAATTAAAAGTTGAATTGAAAAAGAGCCAGGGCTGGCCCCTGAACTAGACGAATATAGAAAAACTTATTCTGTAAATGGAAAAAGCAGACCAGAAGCAGACTCCTTAAAAGATACAAAGTTTTATTAAACAATCCTGGAATGAATAGTATTATTACATAAATTAGGCAGCAGTAAAATTTTCCTAGGGTATATATACAAATCACAGTGATTTTCATTGTGCAAGATTTGAAAGGATTAGCGACAGGCGATTTTCTTTCTCCACGGGGAAAGCTGCGTGACCCTCCCCACCCCCACCCAGGAATCCCCGTGCTGGCTCGCCGGGGCGCACCGCACCCGCAAAGGCACTCCGTCTCGTGTCTGCGGCCACCCCACTGGACCGCCACGGGGACCCCGCGATGCGCGGGCGACCCAGCCAGGTGGCCCCGTTAAGCGCAGCGCAAGAGAGAAGGAAGCTACAGTCGTCACCCAGAGCTGAAAACCCATCTCAGAGCGCAAGGCGCGCTGAGCGTCAGAAGGCCACAGCTCCCACCAGCTAAAGCACCCACGGAACGACACTTTCTCCCCGTTACTCTAAACACAGGGGCCGACCACGGAAGATCCCATGGTAGTGCAACAGAACGGGTTACAACACAGTAATTTATAGGGAACTGTGACACAGGACTTGCCTTCTACTGTGAAGGTCTGTTCCCTGGGATGCAAAAAGCAGACTCCATAGGAACACGCAACGCTTGCTGAAAACTCATGTCCTGCCCTCCACCGCCACTGAGACACGCACACACACAGACACGCACACACACACACACACCAAACTGCCCACACGCATCATTAACACCAGCGGTCGTGTGCTTGTCTTCTTGGTTTTGGTAGGTGGATGTCGCCCCCTAAAGGTGGCATCATGAGAAGGATCTTCTCACTTCCGTGAGAAAATGGGACACACGGCACACAGGACTGGCCCCACGCCGACGAAACCCACACTTGGTGGACGGACCTCCGGGCAAAGAACTCAAGCCTCCCATGCCGGGATCCCCGCCGTGGGAGCCATCACGGGCTTCTGTGAACCTATTTGTTTCCGGATGTAAAATCAACTGGCCGGAAAAACAAAATCCAACCGAGTACTTCTCCCACACTACGATAACCACGTAGGTGGGATGACAATTTTGAGGTCATCGTGGGACGGGACTCGGCGTGACATGCTCCCGGGGCGGGGGCAGCCCTGGGGACCCACGGGGTGGGGCGCTGGGGTCTTTAGGTGAGGGCACGGATTCATATTTTCACAGTTAAAGTGGTCCAAAATCCAGAGGCAACTCAGGTCATACGGAGAAAGGGCCAATGCGTCCCACATGACGCGACTGGGGTACTGGGGATTCTGGGGGTGGGAACACCCACGGGAGCCTTTGAGTAGAGCGGAGAGAGTGAAACACAGCAGGGCAGCAGATGCTTACTCACAGGTGGCTGGGCAGGGGTGGGGAGAGCGATGCGAGAGCCTCACGATGGTGTGAGCGGGGCACGCGGCTGACACGTTGAGTTGGGCTCTCTTTCGACGCGTCTTGACTCCAGCCTCAGAAACCACGATGTGGCCCTTGCCTCAACAGATCTGTGCATGACACAGAGGGTTCCCACCTGTGTTCTGCAAGAAGGGCTGGATGTCGTCAAACAATATGTAGGATATGCGGTCACGGCCAGTTGCGACTTTATCACCTTCTCAGTTTTGAAGATGTGTATCCAGGCGGGCTGGTGACCATCCCCTTAGAAAAAAAAAAAAAGAAAAAAAACGACACCCACCCCTACGTACTTCTTTGCGAAACATTCATTTCCTGAGGATGCTTTTTTAACGGTGCTTGTATTTCAGAAAATATTGCCAAGTCATAAAATTGCATAGGACAAAAGGACTGTACAGTTTTGTTTCTGGTGCGAATTTTGCGAACATTTCCATGACGTTTTTTCACAGCTTTTTTTTTTTTTTTTTTTTTTGCACACGGATATTTGATCTGATCCCTGAAGATTTGAGAGTGCCCCCCACCAAGTAAACTATTTTTCAGTTATATATAGTGACGGTCCCGGGGGGTTGGGACTCATTTTGATTAAGCCAGTGTCTGTATGACATCACCCTGCTTCATTTACAGCCCAGCCACGGGCAGTTAACACATGGCTTGTGCCACTTGGAATATTGAAATGGCAAGACTGAGCTTAACACCATCTGGTATTCTTGGAATTCCTTTTAATTTTTAATTTGTTTTGCATGGCTGATGGCGGATGACAATGTTTTTAAAGAACCGTGTGATCCAAGCGTTCCAACGTTGGGTCGTTTTTGTGTCCAAAACTAAGGCGATGCGTTCCGTGCTACCTTGATGCAATTGTCATGCCAGATATTAAATCCGGGACGGTGAGCACGAAACCCCAAAATAGGCGTATGGGTCCATGTATCTCCGCACAATGTTTCATCGTGTTCAAGAAAGGTGTTTCATTTATTTTTATTTCTCTTAAGCACAAAGCTCCAAAATAATAATAATAATAACTTATTTTTATACGTCAGAGAAGGCGAGATCTCTGCTCTCCCTTGGGGGTTTATATCGGAGCGTACAAAGTGACTTTGTTGATTCCGTTTTGGAACATTCAATGGTGAAATAGTTTCGGATCCACTGGATGTGGGGCCCATTCTGGACCCTCTCCTTTGTCCAAATAGGACGGGGATCACTCAGCACAGACTGAAAGCACCACTTTGAAACACCCTTTGAAAAGAATTGTCGAGTTCGTCATTATAAAGAGTTTATTTTGCTAAATCTTGTACTCGCTCTGACCTTCTCATCGGAGGTCTACCTGAAGAGCAGGTCATTTACGGGAAAGGGGGACACGCTGGACGCCTTGAATTTCACGGTCTTTTAAAAGCTTTTTTATGTGCTGTTCACTCTACATTCAAGTACCAACAGCCCCGGACTCCTGGGCGTGTGAGTGGCATCTGGCCAGACCTGAAAGACCACTGCATGGCCTCTGACACTTTGCTGCTTCAGAAAAATGCCTGACTTCCCCACAGGGCAGGTCGTTACACCCGTAGATGTAGCTGTAGAAGGGGTCGGAGGGGGCGCCTGGGTGGCTCAGTTGGCTAAGCGTCCCAATTCGGTTCAGGTCATGATCCCACGGTTCGTGGGTTCGAGCTCCACATCAGGCTCTGTGCTGACAGCTCAGCCTGGAGCCTGGAGCCTGGAGCCTCCTTCTGTCTCCCCCTCTCTGCCCCTACCCGCTCACACTTGATCTCTCAAAAATAAATAAACATTAAAAAAAAATGAGAAGAGTGGTTCCATGCACAGGAAAGGCTTTCGCAAGCGCAGCACTGGAAAAGTGTCTCTGATGGTGCAGACCCAGCAGGTGACTCAAGAAGACCTGAGCTGCAGAAACCTTGAGAGGGTCCTCAGGCGACCCTCGCCCCACACCCACATTCTCCAACACACCTCCCAGGGTATGCACAGCTCCCCTCCTGGCTGCCCGAGGACACGGATGTTTCCAGGCGAGCATGGGAAGAAAGGAAGGGTACAGAGGGGTCTTGGATGTCTGTGGAGGTGTCCTCTGGCGTCGCCCTAGGCTCTGGAACCTACTAGTTAAGTGCACAGACATCCCTGCAGCAGAAGGTCCTGGTTGAGCCCTACGACCAGTCACACGGACAGAGGTGAGGAGCGCTGCGTTTCCAGAGCACTCACAGCCAGGGGGGAACGGGCAATCCCGTGAGGTCCGTACAGCAAAGTTCAGAATCAGGAAGCGGAAACACAGGGCAGAAGGTCATGGATCACGGACAGCACGGACCCCGAGGACGTCTTTGCGCGTCCCGTGTCCTGGGAAGAACCACATCTAGCAACACCCTCAGTGTGGACCACTCCACATCTGCCTTTTCACCGTGTTGCTAGATGTGTCTCTGCCCTTCTGGTTTCAAGAGCTAACGTCACCAGGTATGACGCACTAAAGACGAGACGCGGACCCACCACACGAAATTTTCTTCACAACCTACGAAATGCACAGAAGACGACACAAAATGCACACACCGTATCCGTTTTAGGTTTTGTCCCCAAGGAAACAGATTCTTGAAAGAGCGACTCGAAAAATAAAAATCACAGGCTGTGCCAAGTACGAACATGGACATCAACGCACGATTTGCACGCCACTCATACAGTCTTTTTACACACGCGCACACACGCACACGCACGCCATCTGTGGTGACGGCGGAACACGTTGAGTTCAAACTTATAAAGTGAAGTCTGGGAGGAAAACCAAGATATCACAGTAGGTTCATCGCACTAAGAGAGAAGACAAAATCTACAACCAAACAATTTTCCGAAAGTTCCTACTGTGCAGTAGATTTCCAGTTGTTTAAATAAGGCCAGGTCCATGACTTTCTACGGGTCTCCAGGCTCTTTATATACATCCAGATATATAGAAATACGGAAACGTCCTTATCCCGCGTAGACGACCCTTCTTCTGAGCAATCAGTGTCCCCGGCAGGTTCAAATCGTCCTGTTTCTCCCAGGAGACAAGATAAAGGATTTGGTTAGTTTGCAAAATAACGGGGTCAATTTTGTAATAACAGCAATAACTCAAAAGGAACTCAACGATACGCACACACAGGAGGAAACTTTTTCAATGAAATTCTTATTCCAAACATCCACAAGCAGGGATCGTAAGGGGTGTGAGATGCTTAATAAAACAAAACACAACAAAACTAAGCAGTCTTTTTATAAAAAAATTGTTTACTGTTTATTTATTTTTGAGAGAGAGAGAGAAAGAGAGAGCGTGAGAGAAGGAGGGGCAGAGAGAGAGAGAGACACAGAATCCGAAGCAGGTTCCAGGCTCCGAGCTGTCAGCATAGAGCCCGGGGCGGGGCTTGAACCCACAAGCGGTGAGATCATGACCTGAGCTAAAGTCAGACGCTGAACCGACTGAGCCCCCCGGGTGCCCCCAAACTAAGCATTCTTTTACAGGTGGGTCTCAAATGTGATATGATGGTGTCATGCATATAGATCACATGGATTTCACAAGCAAATCTCGATCCTGTCTTGGTGGGCTTCACCATAGAACCTTCCAGTTAGACAGAACACATTTTATTCTGAGGTCAAATAAAAGCTCAAGTATGAGGTATCTCCCTTCCAGCTGTCCTAACATCGTCTTCCTTGGGCTAAAAAACATGGAGAAGGAACTCGCAAAGATGAACAGTTAAGACATACAGTTATCAGTCAGCTCTGGAGGGCAGTATTCACCCTGAGCCTGCCTCTCATCCGTGGCAGACCATTTCGTCTCCCAAAGAAATACCTTCCTGCACGGAGACTCACCCCTGATGACTGAGCGCGGAAAATGCCGGATCTCTGTTCCACCCCGTGTCCAAAATGACAGAGACAGATTAAAATGTTGGGGCGCCCGAATGGCTCAGTCAGTCAAGTGTCCGATTGTTGATTTCGGCTCAGGTCACGATCTCAGGGATCAAGCCCCACATCAGGCTCTACACTGTCGGCTCGCACCCTACCTGGGATTCGCCTGCTCTTCTGCGTCTGCCTCTGCTTATGTTTTCTCTCTCTCTCTCTCTCTCTCTCTCTCTCTGTGTCTCAGAATAAATAAACTTTAAAAAAAATATGAAAATCAAGGAAAGTCAACACATAGGCATATCGCTGGCAATATGTCGCCTCTCTTCCTTCACATCATTTTTCTTGCCTTGATGTGAGAAGCAAAGCCATAAACTCAGACATTCCACAGACACAGAGTCAGAGACCTTCGCAGGTTCCAAGACATGACAGACTCAAAACCCATCCTTCTAAATGTCACACTGAGCTTAGCCAATTTCATACGAGGGGTAAGCTAGTATGATCACTTTTTGGTGAAAAGGGACCTAAAAAAAAAAAATACCTTTTTGGAAATATGTGGTAAGTGTTACGGGGAAGGTGGTGTGGAGCTCAGGGCTTCCAGAAAAGTCGAGAACGCAGGGAGTTTTACGAAAGGAGGCATGCATCTCTACATTCGGGCACGCACACACCTTGCAGGGCTCAAGGGTGACACCTTGAGTAACCTTGAGTAACATGCCCCGGGGGGCCGGGGGTGGGGGAATGCTTCTTAAACAAGCTGATGCTTGGAAGGACCAGGTCATGTTCTGCTCCCCCGCTCGTGTCCCACTGGATGAGGGAAGCCCCTGTCTTGGTCGACGCAACATCCCCTTGATGAGGGACGTGTCAACCTCACTGGAGTGCAATTATGGAGAAGAAGATATACCTTCCACGTGTGGATTCGCGTCCTCAGAAATTCTTGAAGACTTCCAAATCCTTCGGCGAGACGGGAGGGGCCGCGTTCCAGTCATTGTCGGGATACGCTTCGAAGTTGGAGGTATCGCCCTCGCCACACAGCTTGGGCACGATGGGTGGCTGTGGGGCCCGGGCAAGACACAAAGGCACGGTTAGGAAGGAACAAGGCGCATCGGGAAGGGACGTGCGTCGCAGCGTGTCTATGGCTTTACGTAAAAATGGAGAGGAATTGAAAAACAAGAATAAGAAGCACAGAGAACCCAAGCCGTCTTTCCTTTGCTTACGAACGTGGGAAGTTTCGAATCTGAGACGGTGCCAGTTTGAGGCACGAAGAGAGGAAACACGCTACCCGGCAGTTGCTCCTTGAAGTCTAGAGGGAGAACCACCCAGATCGCTTGTTAAATGCAGATCCCCAGGCCAGCCGCGGTCTCAGGGATTCTGAGGTAGCTGGTCCAGCGGCCAGAGTTTGGGAAAATCCCAGAAAGATGTCAAGCCTCAGTCCTGCGTTGGTAAAATGAGGTGATCGGCATTGGATCAGAGGTCGGCCAAGGTTTCCCGTAGAGGGCCACTGAGTAAATATTTTTGGTTTTGCCAGCTGAAGAATTTCTGTTGTGACTGCTCAGCTCTGGCACTCCAGGGTCAGGCAGCCTCAGATAAAATGTGAATGAAGAGGGGCGCCTGGGTGGCGCAGTCGGTTAAGCGTCCGACTTCAGCCAGGTCACGATCTCGCGGTCCGTGAGTTCGAGCCCCGCGTCGGGCTCTGGGCTGATGGCTCGGAGCCTGGGGCCTGTTTCCGATTCTGTGTCTCCCTCTCTCTCTGCCCCTCCCCCGTTCATGCTCTGTCTCTCTCTGTCCCAAAAATAAATAAACGTTGAAAAAAAAAAAAATTAAAAAAAAAATGTGAATGAAGGGATGTGGCCGTGCACTAATAAAACTTTATTTATAAAAATAAGCAAGGGGCAAGGGTGCCTGGGTGGCTCAGAAGGTTAAGTGGCTGACTCTTGATTTCAGCTGAATTCACGATCTCATGGTTCGTGGGTTCAAGCCCCACGCAGGGCTCTGAGCTGACAGGGCGGAGCCTGCTTGGGATTTTCTGTCTCTTTCCCTCTGCCCCTCCCCCATGTGCGCGCACGCACGTGAGCTCTCTTTTTGTCTCTGTCTCTCTATCAAAATACATAAATAATCATGAGAATTTAAAAAAATAAGCAAGGGGCTTAGGAGGAAATAGAGTAAGAGACTAACACTCAGCCATGGCAATGCATACCTTCTAATATCTATTTGGTTTGGGGTTTTTTTTTTCTTTTTTTTTTTTTGTTTAGTGTTTATTTTTGAGACAGAGACAACATGAGTGGGGGAGGGACAGAGAGAGAAGGAGACACAGAATTGGAAGCAGGTTCCAGGCTCTGAGCTGTCAGCACAGAGCCTGACGTGGGGCTCGAAATCATGAACCACGAGATCATGACCTGAGTGAAGTCAGAATGCCTAACTGACTGAGCCACCGAGGCGCCCCTCTATTTGGTTTTTGAACAACGAACATATGTTACTTATTGAATTGGAAAAAATAAGTCAGTTAAGAAAATAAAATACTTAAAAGTTAAAAGCAGCTCATTGAGACATTGGTGGTCTGGGCTGAATGTTAGCTTTTGGGTTGGGGGGCCAAGCATTAGCATTTTTTAGGTCTCTCCATCGAGTCCAAGAAGTATAAGGTTGAGAATGTCACTGTTAAGGAGTCGTGTCAAAAGTACATTCAGTTTAGGGAGGCTCCTGAGTGGTTCAGTGGGTAAAGCGTCTGACTCTTGGTTTCGGCTCAGGTCATGATCTCGCAGTTTGTGGGTTCGAACCCCACATCGGGCTCCATGCTGACAGCGTAGAGCCTCCTTGGGACTCTCTCTCTCCCTTGCTCTCTGCCCCTTCCCCAGTCACTCTTTCTGTCTCTCCCTCAAAAATAAATAAATAAACTTAAAATTTTTTTTTCAAAACTACATTCAGTTTAGGGGCGCTTGAGTGGTTCAGTCAGTTAAGCATCTGACTTCGGTTCATGAGTTCATGGGCTGCACAGTTCATGAGTTCAAGGCACTGAACTCACAGTTCATGATCTCACAGTTCATGAGTTCAAGGGCTGCATCAGGTTTTCTGCTGTCGGCTCAGAGCCTCCTTCAGGATGTCTGCCCCCCTCCCTCTCTGCCCTTCCCTGTCTTGCTCTCTCCCTCTCTCTCGGAAATAAACAAACATTAAAAACATAAGTAATTACTTAACTTTATTTATTATTATTATTTATTTTCATTTTATTTAAATATTTATAATTACATATATTTTTATATATGCATATATATATGTATATATATATGTATATATATATATATATATATATACAGTTCAAAGAATGATCTAGAGAATATTCCTCACCTAATCTACTGCCAGGGGTCTCAACCTGTGACCTCCAGGGGTCTCTTTATCGCTAAGACTCAACACCGAACTGGGATGTTGTATTAACGATTTGAGATGCTCTGCTCTGTTATACAAATTAAACAAGGTGTCAGCCACAAACAAACGAGTCACAGGGTCACTCTGTGCCCCTTGTTGACAACAAGTAAAAGACGCCAAGCTGAGACCCACCCGCTTACGTATGTTGTACCTTCAGTTTCCTTTGTGGGACCGCCTCCCAATCCACAGTTCGGAACCACCGGTGTCTTTTCACGTCCTCCGCTCCATTCTTCAGAAGAAACAGGGACACCATCAGCAGACAGAATTTTGACAGGGCAGGAAAGAAAATATTCCAGAGAAGGTCTACTGTACTTAGGTTAGTGCGTGCGGGCACACACATGCACGCACACACAAAGTTTGCTATGTTTTGAGTAACTGTCCCTGGACCATACGCTATGAGGGGGACACCCGTCAATGAAGCCCTTTGTGTTTTGTTCACTTTCCTTCATAGCAGAAACTTCTGGACCACACATGAACGTGTGATGCCAGCTCAGGCTCCCGAGATAAAGAGAGAGACACAGAGTCATTTCTGAATCTGTCACCTGTGTTCATCTTGATGATTTTCTTTGGTATTTAGTATCCTCATCATACAGACATAGGAACCAAGGTTCACTGAAGGATGTAATTGGCTCGGTATTGGGAAGCTATTAAGTCACATGACTAGGACTCAAACCCCACGATGTCCAACTTCAGAGATCTTGAACAGCCACCCCCTCAGCAGTACCTTCCAATTAGAGTCTTAGTGTGTCTGTGGACTAGTAATGGTGCGCTAACGCCTGTGTGTTTCTCAAGTGTGATCCGATGGCCACGTTGCAGACACTGACGGCAGCATGGCCTCTGAAAACCCCTCCCAAGTGTCCGGCCTTCGACCCTCCCTTTATTCTCCCTTTTTATGCTCCTCAGAGCAACTTTTTTAATCGATTAAATGTTGGAAACTGCGGAGAGAGAAATACACGAGTTCTGTGACATGGGAAGAAGCCAGTGGATCTGAATGGAACATTTCGTTTGTGAAATGTTTTACAGTGTAAAGCTCTTATTTTTAACCTTTTCAATTTTTCATCCTCAAACAACAAAGCTCTCAATTACTGTATCTACAAAAGGAAAGACATGGTGATGTGAACTGTTTCCACTTTTTTCCTAATCGTATTATTTTGACAACCATTCCTCTTTCCCTATTGGGAAAAAAATACTCTCCCTTCACTTCTAAGTCAAACAGCAAATACCTGTTGAGTGTTACTGTGAGTGATGTGGAGAGAAGGCAAGTAAGATTGGAAGTTTACTCTCAAGTAAGTGAAACTCTACTATGGGTGGTAACGGATTATACTATATAGATAGAGATAAGTAAAGAGGTAGGTAGGTAGTTAGATAGGATGGATGGATAGATAGATAGATAGATAGATAGACAGACAGATAGATAGATATGATGGATGGATACATGACAGGTAGATGACAGGTGATGGATAGATAGGTGGTAATAGATATGATGGATGCATACACAGATAATGGATAAATAGATGATGGATGGATGGATGGATGGATGGATAGATGGATGACAGATCAATAGATTATTGATTGATAGATGATGCATGGATGGATGGATGGATGGATGGACAGATGGAAGGATAGATGATGGATAGATAAATAGATGATTGATTGATAGA